TGAATATAATTATCCCCATGTTGCAGAAGACAAAAATGAGACAATGAGAAGTGAAATGATAGGCCTAAATATAGGTATGTTTAGTAGCTGAGATGGAAAAAGCAACCAGAAATCCCAGGTTTTAATATTAGATCTGCTACCCTATTACAGAAGGATATGGAGTGAGAATAGTAATTAGGTTCCATGTGTTATTCATTTCATTGTCTAGTATTTGTGCTGTGGAGTGTCTTATGTTCACATCCAATTAAAAGAAATGTTTAAAGAAATTCCAGTAGTGCTTTAGAATAATGAAATTGCCTTTACAAGGCATTGGCTTTTTGCTGCTTTCTTTTGAAGGGGTGAAAACACAGATGTTGTGTCTTTTTTTTTAAATTGTGCTCTGGATTTGGTCTGTAACATTGAGTCTTGCATATGTGCACCGTTGCTCTCCCTCAGATAAAAATATAAACTTCATAGGTTCAACTGCACCTTGTTCTTTTGATGATCTAGAATCCATTTTCCAAATATTTTCTTTTCGGGTTGCATACATCTGTCTGGCAGACTGCTAAATACCTGTGGAGGTTTGCACAACATGGTTTTGAATTACTTGAAATGCTTTCATTGTAGATCTCTGTTATAACCATTTTAACTACGGTACTGAATTTCTACATGATTGCTATAAGTGACTGGACAACAGTTTGCAGACACACAAGCATGTGTGGATTTTAGCAGGAGAATTGAAATAAATTGAACCTGAAAATATGGACTGGAAAGCTTAGTATATTTACTGTGACAGCATTGTATTGGGCTCTAGGGCAGCCCTTCAGAGGAGATTTGGAAGTCAAGTAAATAATTTAAAGTAGATTAGAAAGATACACTACAAAATGAGAGCAGAAAGCCTTCCTGTATTTCAACAGTAACCTCAATGTTTCATGTGTTTGATCAGTGCAGGCAGTGTGTGTAAAACTGCTACAGTTATTACGATGTGTGGTCTGTGTGTTTAAGTTACACACAGTTGACCCTACTACTTTGGTTTGTGCAACAGCAGGAGGAAGCAGATGATTTGTTTCAGTGTATGTACATTCCACATACACGCACAGTCTGGGCTAATGCACATGCTACTGCAGTTTTTCTGTGTGTTTCTGCTTTCTTTTTTTCAACTGCTTGCACTACCCTTCTGATTTTTGTGGTCTGTGTTGTTCAATTAGGAGATTTTCAGAGTCATTAAATAGTCTCCCTTTGATCTCACTATGTCTTTAGTTCAGCTGACACCCACCAGCAACCCAGCTTAGCTCTGGCAGGCTCTGCTGGTTAAGCTTAAAAGTGTGATTGAGTAACTCTTGTGCTCTGAAAACCTTGGGTACATCTCCCTCCACTCTGTCCCTGCTACTGATGAGGACCTATTCTATGTGCCAGCTTTTTTAAGGGATATGGTGTAAAAAAAACCAAACCAGCTGTTTGTGAGCACCATAAATACAAACTACAGTCATCCTCTGGTAGAAGTAGGTGCAGTAGCAATAACCTGCAATAAAGCAGCATGCACTTAGATCTGTCCTAAACTGGGGCCTTGGAGAGATTCCACACGTGCACAGTGTTTTCAGTTTCTTGTTGTTTTTAGGTAGATGGAAAAGAGTTTGTGTGTTTTTAAGGTGAACAACTTGTTTCCACTCAGGTGATCACCAGAGCTCTTGCATTACGTGAGGGAGATTCAACCACGAGTTCTCTTCAGGTTTCTTCCTCCCATCAGTGGGAGGAGAAGGCAGGCATAAAGAAGGGAAGTTGTCTCAGCCTCTAACAGCAGAATGAAGGCTCTCAGAAACCCTGGTAGTGTGGAGTGTCTAATGACTGGAAATTTCTAGGTAGAGTGTAAAATCCATGGTTGCAGTATAGGAGGTTGGCATGCACAGATGGAGACTGATGTAGACTCAGAGTCTACACTGATGAAGGGAGATTACTATTCCTTCTGTAGTATCTTCCCACTTTGGGTTTCCGTGAGACATTTTATATGCCCCGTTCCCCACTCAGGCAATCTGTAAGAGTCATTCTGTGTAAAAATGATGCAATGTCCTGTAAAAGCAAAATTATATTTGAGAAGAAAGTGTCCGCATGTAATAGAATAAGGAGGAAAGATACTGACAGAAAAAAGGCAGGTTAATCTTTTGTATCAGAACAGCAGAATGTATTTAGGCAGTAAGAAATGGAATAAAATTATTTAGGACTGAGCTTCCCGAGGGATGCCTTTCTGTGATTGCATGTATGTGTGTACTACTTTGTATGACTATGAATTCTTACGATGAGATAGTGATGATGTGATGATGATCCTACCTAAGATTTTACATTTTAAATGTGAATGATAGATTGTGAATAAGGGTTTTCATATTTATGATGTAGATATTTACTTAACTATACATATCAGAGCAAAACTTAGAAAGGTATGGTAGTCTCTTTTTCTCTTGTTTATGTTATAGCAAAAGGTATTTCTGATTAGCAGTATTTTTTTGCCTAGAAGCTGACTTCATTTTCAGGCTTTCCTGTGGGTTTCCTCAGATAAATACCAGCCAACTGAATTTCTGGTGATAAATTTGTAATGCCATTTGAGCTGGGGTCTCAAAGGGACCAAGTTACAGTCCTTCAGAACTGTGCTGCTTTGCAACCTTCTTCTTCATCTCTGTGTTTCGTAACCATCTCAAACTTCAGCTTGAGCTGTATCAGAAAGCAGAGGTCTTTATCTGAATCAGGGTGTTCCTAGTTCAAAATAGAAGTATACTATTTATATCCTAACATGTTTACCATCTGACAGCTTCCTATTCTCGCCCAGGAATGATTTAAAGATGATGGTTTAATTCCTATTGCACAGTTATGTTACTATTGCATTTGAGTACCTCAGCAGAAACAAGAAGGATTGTTTGATTGCTGCTTGTTTCTCAGCCAGCTCTCTTCTCTCCAGGAGCTGAATCCCATGTTTGCTAAAGCTGATTTAAAGTTTCCATTGTTTTCAGAGGATATCATGTCAAATTCCAGTACATGCCTCAGCCAGGTGCTGAGGCAGTGTTATTTTTTAGTTATTTGTTTTACTTCGTAAGCCTTGCTGTAAGTGCCTGTCTATACTTTATGCTTTCAATTCACTCACCTCCTCTTAGATTTGGTCTCTTAGGTACATCATCTGAATGTAAATGGTAATTAGCTTTGCAGACTAGGCTTTGTTTGCTTCTTTGAGTGAATTCTCTCCAGAAACAGTGTTCAGCACTGGTCCTTTCTTTCTTTATGTCTACTGGAAAATATCACTCCAAGAAGAGAGCGAAGAGGCATAAATTACCCACTTACTGTTCTATCAAAAGCACAGGTAGATTTAATTTACCCCAGAAACTGTGACTGGAAAGTGAGCCTATTTCTAAGAGCCCTCTGCTTCTTTTGTTTCCTTTCTAGCTTCACTTCAGATTTTTGTTTCATTTTTTAAGCTCTGCATAAATTTTCACCGTGGGTTTCCTTCCCTGTTATTACCAACTAGCCCACTGATCAGGCACCAGGATTTCAGCCTTGCTAAGTTGGTGTATTGTGTTGGAATCAGAAGTCAAATATGTGATAATGAGTGTAATATGCTTCTGAGTGTTGTGATGTTTAGTGGGTAGATGTACACTCTGAAGACCTTTCTCGTCTGCAATCTGTGATGAAGATGAATCATTCTTTGGGGAAAGGTTATAGTCATGTTGTAAATCTCATTCTAAAAGTGAGAAATAAAAAAAGAAGATCCAGCAGTGATAAATAACTACCATCTGGAATCTGAACTATGTAATTGTATTATAATTTGTCATCCACATAAGATAAGCTTTTGAGAATGTTTAAGTTGAAGGCAGAGATACCAAATGTGTTAACTATTTCAAATACTAAAGTTAAATTAATTTGAACAATGTGTTCCATGTGAGGTGGGAAGACTCCTAGAACCAAGACAATGGAATTCCTTGCAGCACAGCTGTATGAGAGTAGGTAGGCACTGGGAGAAGCTGTATAGTAGGTTTTACATTATTTTAAAAAAATAGGGCTCACTTTAATTATTTGACAGAGGAAAATTGATTTACATCAAAAGAAGCCTTCAAATGCCTTTTGTGGTTGAGCTCTAGTTGATGTGTCTCCAAGATTAGCAATGGGTGCAGATGAGCTGTTTATGGGTTTGTCTAGCGTTAAGAAATATGTACTGCTGGAAATTAATCTCTTCTGTGACTTGAAGAAAAGAAACAGAAATTGCTGAAAAAAGACATGGGAAGAAAACAAGAGAATAGAGACAACAAAGAAACGGGAAAGCAGTGAAAAAAGCAAAATGCCTTGTGAGATAACTACTCTGAATCAACATCACATAAATTTCTGCTTCTGCCAGCTGCCCACTCACTTTCTTTTTTAATAGAAGGAGTCATCATGGTTCTGAAGCAAGTAGTGTAGGGAGCTGTGCATTTTCTAAGGAAGTGAGTTTCCTGTCTTAGTGGGATTTAGCTTGCAAGACTGACTTAGTAATTGATTTGATCTCTTTAGGGGGTATATAACATATCAAAATGGTAGAAGCAGTGTTTAATTTTCCCAAGTACACTCCTGCAATACAGAAGTGACGCTTCAGAAAAAACTTTATTATTTCCTTTCTGAAAACAATAGTAAAAAAATTATTTCTTAAAGAAAACCTTCTACTGACACTCATTTAGTCTCACAGTGCTTCTGTGAGGGAGGCATTAATATAACATATATTTTGTAGATATGAATCTGGAACACCAGATAAGACAGTGAGTGGTTTGTCCCACGCCTCTCACCAAGGCCTTGGAGTACAGACACAGGTAGAACCTGGACAAACCTGGCACTGAGTCTTGTGCTCACTGCTCGTAGCCAAACCGTCTGTCAGCTGAGCTGTGTCTGGGGACAGACACACAGGGGTCCTGCCAGACGTGCAGAGCCGATTTGTTTTCTGAAAAACTACTTAGGTGACTAAAATCAAAGACGTGTTTTACTGACATCTGTTCTTTTTCTTTCTTTTTTTTTAGCTGGTCTTGCCAGAGTACTCTATCCACAGTCTTTTCTGCATAATGTTTTTATGCGCTCAGGAGTGGCTCACACTGGGGTTAAATGTTCCTTTGCTTTTTTATCACTTCTGGAGGTAAGCCCTTCTTTTCTATGCTGACTGCTTGTTAGCCTTGCTTGCCAGTTCAGCACACATGCAGACTGTATGAACAATGAAGGACAGTGATAGGAGTGTGGATGAATATCTTTTGCCCAGAGGCTTATGCCTATAAGCAGCTGAAACCTACATTTCCAGCAAAAAAGGAAATTTTTTGGTGAAAATTTAGTGGAGATGTATTAAATTTATATATTTATATTTATATCTTTATATGTCTCCTCTATATCTCTTTATATATATATTTATATTATATTTATATATTATCTCCCCTCTCTCTCTCTTTATATATATTTTTTTTTATATATCTATATATATAAATGTTGCTTTCAGTTACTAACTGAGGTAAATATTCCATAGAGTGTCAGGATGCACACACTGCAACTGAATGAAAACATGGAATTTAAATAAGCTGGAATCTGAGTGTGGAACTCTAAATGCTTCACAGATGGGGAATTGTAAGACAGTTGATATTTAAAAGAGCTTGGACCTATTCATTCAGCCCCAGCAAGGAAACCTTTCCATTGGAGTTGTGAAATAAAGACTGGGCAGATTGACAGATTTTTGCATCTCATCTTCTTTGGCAGATTTATGATTTTTTTTTTCAGTATAAAATAAGTTGTTTCTTTCTGTTCAGTAAGGAATTGATGTTCTGCAAGAGAATTCTCTCTTACAGACTCTTGGGGTAGGGATTGCAGTAGGTGAAGAACTATTGTCTTCACACTGCACATGTGAAGAAGTGGGGAGTGTTTCCACTCTGGATCTCTGATATGTGTTTATATTCCCCAAGGGGCTTTCAGAATTGGTCATGTAAGACCTGCTGCTGTTTTCCAGATGGGCAGTAGAGCTGCTACTGCTGCTGCATCTTCCTCTGCATTCTAGTGGAGAATCTGTTGCCTCTGAAAATAACCAAGAGACATCAGTTTTTGCGGTTGTCAGTCTGGAGTCTTCCCTAGTTTTGAATTTTCACAATGTTTGTAAAAGCACAGATGATTTTTGTCTGTCGGGGTCTCTTTGTGTTACAAAGGTACATATGGTAGCAGAAGAATAATTCTGTAAAGAAGTCAAAACCATTATCTCAAACAGAAACTAAAAAGTAGCAGCATTTTTACACTTTTTTCCGCAAAACCTTGGTAAGTAATGCAGAGTCATATGATAGATTCAGAAGTTAAGAGTGCCAGTATAGTTCTCAGAAAGCTAAATGAAGCTGCAAATGCTTTTCTCTCTATTGTTTGGCTGCAATAAAAATAACAACGTTTTATGATGCTGTTTTACTTAGGGTTAACAACTGAAGTGTGACAATAGCACTCATTTTAAAAGTTTCTAGAAACACATATGTCCAAAAGGAAAATGGCCTGACTCTAAATAATGATGTCAACCTTTGGAGAGAATTTTTGAGTCTCTCTTTTTTCTGTGATTCTCCATATGCTTTGCTATAAGTACTCCATAATTTCTGCTGCAAAGTAACTGAGACAAAAGCTGCTTTGCCAATTACGTTGTTTTGTCGTGACTTTCTCAAACAGTCACTTACTGCTGAAAATAATTAGAGATTTCTCTTAGGTAAGAAGAAAAGCCTTTTTCAAATAAAATTATTTGGACAATACATTTTTGAGCAGTGCCACATGTAGAAACCTTAGTCAGCTGGCTCTTATATTACTCCATATTGTTTTGTTTTTTCCTTTGCAGAGTTCGAGGAACTTAACTACCATCTGGTTGAGACTGTCACCTTTATCATAGCTGAAAAAAGTTGTGTTGCTGCAGTTAAAGCCCAGTGATCCTTCCTGCATGCTATGATCACAAGCCACCATATATTGACACTCACAATATGTGAGTTATTAGAAAGCCAGAACTAACTATATAGGAAGTGGGAATGTTTCAATCTGAAGAATTAACAGAACACAGAAAGTCCACATTCATTAAGTATTTGGTTCTATAAGAAAGGAGTACTTAGACTAGCATCCTGATTTTAATAATGTCTGGAAATAGAGACTTGAAGAAAAAGGGAAATTCCTCCTATATCGTGGAAGATGGTAGTCTTCTGAGCTGGTGATCAGGAGGGTGTGTATCTCCATGTATTTAATACAGAATATTATAGAGTCATTCCAGATATCTTCTCCTGCTCTTTCAGGTATTTTCGTTGCCCAGCAGATAGTTCAGAGCTAGCCTATGATCCACCTGCAGTCATGAATGCAGATACCTTGAGTTACTGCCAAAAAGAGGCCTGGTGTAAGCTGGCTTTCTATCTCCTTTCCTTCTTCTACTATCTCTACTGGTAAGTCTGGTCATTTCACTAAGAAAATAATAACTGCTTTTCGTTTCACTTGTGAAACTGTATTTAGGAATAACTGGAACCAGTTGGCCAGTTTCCTTCTGATGTTGATTCAGGGAAGTACACCCACTTACTGCTGACACCTCAGTACAGAATATTAAGTGTTTTTCTAAGGCCTGAGCCAGGCCCCAGGGCCAACCCAAGGAAATAACTTTTGCTCCTCTGTATAGTCTCTTAGGATAGATGAAATAGCAAATGTTATATTAATGGTATTATATCAAATAAAGTGATAATGTCCTTATGATTCAAGAGAATCATAAGAAAAATACTACACCTGCTGGTGTAGGGATACTCAAGATGGTAAATAAAGGGATGGGAACACAGGATGCACCATGCCTGTAGTCATTCCTACAGGCTCGCTTTCATGACAGGGTAAGCCTGTGCCTGGTCCAAACCCCGAATTAAAGTACATTCATGAAGATATGCACCCTAGCTGTGTGTTGTCCCTCCTGCTCCTTTTAGCTGTCAGATACCAGTGCACAGTCACAAATGCCCAGTGCAAAAATATGTGAGGATTGTATTTAAGGTAAGACCTTGGCAGACTCCTTGTGCTTTTAGTCACCCCCATAATCACACCATAAAAACTACTTGACAACAAACTTTAAGACACTTTAAAGGGAGGAGTCATTGCTGCAGGTAGTTGTTTCTTGATATTCCTTTTAAATACTCTTGAGAACAAAGTTTTCTGTTCACCTGTATGTGTGTATGTGCCTGTGTGTCTGCACATGAGAGCAAGAAGCTGGCAGGGACCTAACTCCCGTGAAGATGGATATGGCATGACAATCTGAATTTGGCATCCAGTAGTTTTTTGGGTTCAGGCTGAGCACCTTTGCCTGTCCTCTTCATGGGGCTGAGAGTGAAAAGCATGGCAGTTATGCTAGACAAGCTCTGTTGGTAGTGTAAGGAGAGATGGCAAGGAATGGCTGGAGAGAAAAGCATTTTTAACTCCACGTTTTTGTGTTGGGGTCAAAGTCAGCTGTGTAGCGTGGTCTGGCATTTCTGCTGGGACTTCAGTGTCGTGCAGCTTCCTGTGAGCCCTGCTTCCTTCATTCTAAAATGTGGCCATAATCCAAAATCCACTGCCTGGTGCTAAATAAAGTAGTATAAATTACATACAGTTTTACAGTGCTTTCCTGGGTATTGGCAGAACTAGTGTTGCAATAAAATAGAGCTGTGACAATATGCTGTATTTTCTTCGCTTCTCAGAGCTGTATTTAATGTGTATGGATTCACTCCAGCTGGTGCATTTTTTGTTTCTTCTACTGCACAGAGTTTTTTTCCAAAAAGAATCAAAACAATGCAGTTTCATGGAAAACCTTGCCCGCCCTGCTGAGGGTTACTGGTTGAAGTTTTAAAGATCAAACATGCTCAAGCAAAAATGGTTTTATTTCTTTGCTGTTCAAATTGAGACACCAGACTGAGCTTTAAAAAGCTCAAACACAGCTTGTGGTGTAGTAGAATGTCGATAATGAATTTGTTATTTCTTGAGTGCCTTTTGATACCCATCTTGAATGCACCATAATTAAGATGCTTTAGAAAGATAGAAAGAATGCAAAGGAAGGCACAGGCCATTACAGTCAGACCTGAGGAACAGACAGCAAAGGGTTGTAAAAATCAAAGTGCTCTGTATGCTTCAAAAGGATGCTTTCATAGTGTGTCTTTCTTTTACATTCAGCATGATCTACACTCTGGTGAGCTCTTAACTGAAAGGTCATTGTTAAAGACTGAAAACAACAAAGGCTGGAACTGCAAGGACAAGTGAACCAAGTGATGCATGATTAAAAAAGCAACGAGAAAAACTTTGAACCCAAACAGTAAATAGAGCATGTGAAAGAGAGATCCAGAGAGAAGAAGCAGACAACCATGGGAGATTGGCTGAGTTAGTTGTTTTTATCTCCTGTTGCTCAATGTAGTGCAGTAAATGACTTTCAAAACCGAAGCAAACAAAGAAAATGCAACACGGGCCAAGTTACACAGCTATTCACCTGTCCAGGGATAATGCTGCTTGGTTTAGTGGATTCATTATAAACTAGAGTCCCTACTGTCTTCCAGGGAGCAAAGTTTCTTTTCTTAAGGACTATTCTGGACTGAGAAAGCAAAAGATAAGATAATCTTACACAGAAAGAAGACCCATACAACACCTTCTGAATATGGGCACTGAGTCGATATCGGATAAGATAAATGACTGTCCTGAAGGGATATTCACATGATACTAAGCAAACAAGGATGTCAAATTACTTGGACCTCTTTCAGTGGCTTTGTTTGGGTTTTTTTTCCACCAAAATGACAATGACAAAAGACTTTGCAGCTGCAATATTCCGTTTTCTGATTATATGCTATTCCTGCTGGTGAACACCCAGTATGTTTCTGTACTTCATTTGTGATATGCCAATAACATACAGTGATATGTATAAATACGTTGGGCTTGACCTGATTGTCCCAAGCACTTATCAGAATAGTGTTCCTCTGACTGCAAAGAAAATCCAAGGTAAAAGCTGCATATATCACAGAGGGTTTTAAGATAGGTATTATATGCATCACAGCGCTGGATAACAAATACTGGACCAGCTAATCGTGGTCTGTAATTCTGTTTTGCAGCTTTATTTCTGCTGTAAAATTTAAGCCGTAACAAATACACAAAGTGTTTTTGTCCTGTATGACATTCGTATTGGAAGTTGTCCATTTTTTTATAATTTAAAAGTTTTAAAATTTTATCATATAAGTCTCATTTAAATTCATATTGATGGGCTGTATGTCTTTATATGTATATACAAATACACATCTACATAAATACTCAAAGTCTGTTTACATTTTAGGTTAATCTATCAAGATCAAAGGCGTCAAGTGTCCAGAACTGCTGCTAAATGTATTTCAGCACTGAACCTAGTGAACCTGGGCTCGTTCCCTCAAAATCCCTGGTGCTCTGGGTAGTAGGCAAGCAAGACTAACACCAGTGCATGCACAGACAGTGCTTGGATCTTGCACTGGGAATCAGCTGACAGTTGGGTATGCTGCTAACAGAGATGTGGCAGAGAACAGCGCTGAGAGGCCCATCTGTACCCCAGCTTGTTTACAGCTGGTCTTGTTAGCACTAGCTCACTGTCGACCCAGCCAAATTTTGTCTGGCTACTGAGAGACAGTTTCTCTATCCAAACTCTGAGACCTTTTTTGTCTGGACACAGGACTTCAGCAGGAGAGTGCTACCATACCCTGTTTCAGAGCATGGTGCAGAAGCCATGGCTGTGTGAGTCATCCCATGTCTGGCAGGTTCCACGCTGAGCTGGAGTTACTGTTATGTGTACAGTGCCAAGACTCTTTCTGCTTTGATCTGGCTGTGTTAACAAAATTAAATCCTGTTAGGCTGCAAGGCACAGTGTCTGCATGCAAACTCTCTGCTCCTGGCCCACGCCAGCTCTGGATCACACCTGGACATTGCTTGGAAGAGTGCTAGCTGGCCTGAGCCAGTGTTATACCGGGTTCATTCTAACAATATTTAGATGATGAAGCTGTCCCAAGGGCTGACATTCTTTAATGCACAACTACAGACACAGCCAGTAGGTCTTTCTGGATGTGGTTTGGCTTCATATAAGTATGTTCCCAGTTCTGAAAGGATACAACAAGGCTGACAAATCAGATTACTTGGAAGCTAATTTGGGCTCTTATAGTTTATAAGTTTGGGTTGCAGATGCTAGAGAGGTGGCTAAACTGCTCTTGAAATCACACTGACCCTGCAAGCAGTACAAATGTGTTTGCTTGGAGTGAGCCCAAGCTAAGACACTTCACTGGATCATTACAGAGGTAACTCATAAAGCTCTGCTGCTGTGGTATAATTAGTGCACAACAAAAAGTTGATGGTTCTAACTGAAGTTCTTCTCTACAATCTAACTAATGCATCTAGTTCTACAGAATTATAGGAACTAGATTCACAAGAACACAATGCTTGAATGGACTTGCTAGGTCATTTCAAACAGGTTCTCTGTTTCAGACAACTTCATCAATATACTTATCAAACTCCACTTGAAAGCAGAACACTCTGTATGATCCTCCTATTGCTTTGAGCAAGTGTTTCCAGGATCTCACTGCTTGGGTACTAGAAAGTTTTTCTGCATTTCCAGAGTAAATCTACTCTTAGATAATTTATTCCACTTGCTTTTGAGCCAACATTTGCGCGTGGGGGGGGCTGTGCCCACGCAGTCAGGCCCAGGGCTCATCTTGTATAGGAAACGGGCACACACACACAGAATATGTGACCCACAAAATGGCAGTTTATTACTCAAGAAGACAGCTTATATGCAGGGAAATACAGAAGGTTCTGGTGAAAGGGTGGGTTCTTGCCAGGGACAACGAATCCCATGGGGTTTTGATAAGGGGATTTAGAACGGTAGGTTAGGAGGATATGTTTATTCATTCAGGGGGAAGGGATAGCTAGGGGAAGAAGGGAAGGAGGGTCTTTGG